GTCCTGACTCCATCAGAGCTCCAGCTCTCCTCGTGTCTCTGAGTCCTGACTCCATCAGAGCTCCAGCTCTCCTCGTGTCTCTCTGAGTCCTGACTCCATCAGAGCTCCAGCTCTCCTCGTGTCTCTCTGCTCCTCGTGTCTCTCTGAGTCCTGACTCCATCAGAGCTCCAGCTCTCCTCGTGTCTCTCTGAGTCCTGACTCCATCAGAGCTCCAGCTCTCCTCGTGTCTCTCTGAGTCCTGACTCCATCAGAGCTCCAGCTCTCCTCGTGTCTCTCTGAGTCCTGACTCCATCAGAGCTCCAGCTCTCCTCGTGTCTCTCTGAGTCCTGACTCCATCAGCCCAGCTCTCTGTGTCTCTAGTCCTGACTCCATCAGAGCTCCAGCTCTCCTCGTGTCTCTCTGAGTCCTGACTCCATCAGAGCTCCAGCTCTCCTCGTGTCTCTCTGAGTCCTGACTCCAATTGCTTCAGTAGTTTCCCCCACAATAAGTATTATTATATCATTTATTTAAACCAGCCTTTGTAAAGTTGACGTCATATACGACTGCAGCTGCTGGTAATTAGAATGAGAAAAGAATCACGGAGCAATATCGCTTTTTTATCTTTAAAATATGTGTTTGTACTGATGAGAAGCAATCCGTTTAGCTTAGCATAGCATTACATGGTTGGAAAAAGTACTAATAAAATATTTTCCTTCTCATAATTTCCAACAGGAGGGTGAAGAGGACACACCACCTCCCAGCCCCCAACCCAAACCCAACAAGGTCCCTCCAGAGACGAAGCCCAAGCCGGCCACCCCTCCCCCCGTCACTGTTCCCACAGAAGAGGAGGACGAAGGGGACAAAATCATGGCTGAGCTTCAGGTAAAAAGCATACTTCCACTCAAGCATCCACACACACACACACAGTCCCTCAGACATGCAATCAGGACCGGTCAATAGGTCTCTGTTTGATTTCTGCACTGCGGGAGTGGGTCTCTCATTTCATCCCCTGGTGGTTCTCGGGAGATACTTCTCTTCCCTCCTCAAAGTTCCCATCTCCCCTTCACTTTTCTCCACTCTTCAGGTGTTCCAGATGTGCACAGTTAAGGATGTAGGGGTGAAACATTTGGTAGAACCCACCTCTCGAATTGATCCGCAAATCAGAGAGCTGAGGCCCTTAATGCCTCTCAAAGAGAAAAAGGTAAAATACTTTTCGCCGTGCAGCCACCCTCCTAACTGCCTGCCTCTGCCCACTGTCTGACACTCGATGGCTGCCTTAACACTTCCACAAACTTCTGCACCCTTGCTTTGGCTCGAGAGAATCCTGTAACAGCTTCCTCCACAACAAACACTTCCTTTCCTTGCTGCCTCAGTTTCCTTCCCTCTTTTGATTCTGCTGGATATCTCCGCTTGAATATATTTCAGGATTAAGTCTGCATAAAAAAGTGTCCTTTGTGCGCCTTGACCAGACAATGATGTGTGTTGATTTAATTATCAATAAAGACCACGGCACTGTGTTCTACAGGCAATTCAATCGTCTTGTGTCTTTCTTTAATTACCTCCTTCATGCACAAACTGATTGGTAATGAGAGAAACGTTAAAGCTCACTTTGCAGACACATCCTGTTTTAGCAGACTTGGTTCACTAGAGGTCAGTCCGGCCACTCTGCATGCTACTCTCCCCACTTTTTTCCCAGGGATTACTTTTCTGTTTCTCTTTTCAACTTCACTCCAGTTTGCTCTCCCGGCTTCACACCTACTGTATATAACCAGCACAATGTGGTGGCAGACAGGTGCAAACGCGCTTCAACGGCCTAACACACATGCATGTGTTTTGGCACATTTGTGTTATTTTATGAAACTGCAGTGTGTTTCTCAGAATGACATTTCTTTTGGGCTGTTATAGCACGTCTGCACCTGTCGGCCACCGTAGCACAACCCTATATTTCTTCACATATAGGGTTAACCTTTGCACATTTAAAATGATTTATTTATTCAATTGATGTATCAAGTGCACATCCAAGTTAGAACATGAGATCTAAAAGTAAGTATAAGTTAAGTACATGTTAAGCTACTAGTAATAGATAACAAAACAACAAATATTGCCAGCATGGTATAAACATGTAGACTTAATGAAAAGACAGGAAACTAAGTGTATAAAGATTAGTAGTCTCTAGATGACGTGAAAGTGCAAAAAAGTACAGGTAGGGATTTAGCCTTCAGAAATAACCTTGTTTGGCTGTTATTAAATAAACCGGCTTATAGTCTTAACAGTAATATGTTTCCTGCATGCATTTTGATATACATGCATTTAATACCAGGACAGCATATTAAAGTGACGTCTGATGGTGTATCAGTCTACATACTGTATATATTTTTAATGCAGTGCCAATTCTACTGCAAACTCCATATGAGTTCACACTTAACCCTTAGCCACCCTACACACAAGTCGCAGAGTAATATTATTCCTTCACACACTGTCCTAGCAGAGCTCAGAGTCCACACGGGAGGATAAAGATCCCGACACAGATGAAAATGGGAACACAACTCTCCGACAGAGCCAAGGGGTAGGACTCGCTTTCTCTTAATAACATTTTATTCATGTATATGTGCAATATCAAAAGAGATATTAAACAGCTACTCATTCATTTTCCAGGTCATTTACTATGTGACCGGGCAGATTCCCAAAGAGCATCCAACGCTGTCCGGAACGGAGGAGATCCACGAACACCGAGAGACCGCACAGCCTCCATCACAGGTGTCAAATGTCAATGTTAACGACAATTCTCCAAGTCAGCAGCCACAACCGTCTTCACCACCAAAATCTCCTATAACACCTCCACCGATATCCCCCAAACCTGTGGGACTGAAAGGGTTCAAACTTCCAAGGAAGCAAATGAAACGCTCCGAGTCCTTGAAGAGCAGCGTAGAAATGGAGAAGGGGAAAATCCTCAACAAAATTAACACTGAAAAGAAAAGTAAATCTGTCCTGCAGCATGTTTCTTCAAGTAAGAATATAATACCTGAGCCTGTGGCCACGACCAAAACCGTTAAGGTGGCGCCAAAAAGTTCACTAAAAAAGGCTCACAGTGAGGATCCGCCTAAAGCGAGCTACGTGGATTTTAACGAGGAGGACAGTCTTAGTCCTGACTTACCTGGAGAAGAGGCTCCTCCCCCTCCTGAAAACATAGCATTTATGATCACTAACACCAAAGTGCAGGCCCTGTCCTGCGGCGAGTACCAGGACCTGGTCAACGCCAAGAAAGGAAGCGTGCAGACGGTCACTGTAGGTAGCGCTCGCCACCGAGGGAAAGACTCAATGGATCCCAATTTCCAACATGATAACGGCTACAACAAGAAGCCCGTCATCATCATTTTTGACGAGCCCATCGACATCCGTTCGGCGTACAAACGTCTGTCTGTCATCTTCGAAGGTGAGGAGGAGCTGGACAGGATGTTAGCGGCCGAGTGCATCGAGGAGGAGAGCGAGGAGTCTGACTCTGAGAAGGGTAGCGGGCGGCAGGCTAAAGCAGGAGGGAGCCAGGTGGTTGACGGCAAAGACGTTAGCGCTTCACAGCTCAACGCTGAACGCGTTAGCTTGTCATCCTCGTCTTCATCGATCTCTGAGCCCGCAGACAGTGGAGTGAACTCAAACGGTGACGCCAAGACGGACGGAAAGAAGAAGTTCAAGTTTAAGTTCCCTAAGAAACAGCTGGCGGCGTTCACCCAGGCCATCCGCACCGGCGCCAAGTCCGGAAAGAAGACCTTACAGGTGGTGGTGTACGAAGACGAGGAGGAATCAGACGGTACGATCAAGCAGCACAAGGAGGCCAAGAGGTTTGAGATCACGCGCTCTAAATCCCTAGCAGAGGCTCACAAGGGCGCAGTGCTGAAGAGGCAGAACTCAGAGTCCCTCTTCAGGACGGACGAGATCCGGAAGAACGCCTACAAGACGATGGACAGCCTGGAGCAGACCATCAAGCAGCTGGAGACCACCATCAGCGAGATGGGGCCGGCCTCCCCCACGGAGGAAGCTAACACGGGGAATGGGAACATCTCAGAAGGGGCGGGGCTTAAGAGGTCTTCCTCTCTGCCCACCTCCAGGGGGTCCGGCCCTAAGGTACCCAGCAAAAGCATTCTGGTGAAGAAGAATAAACCCCAGCTGCTCCCACGCCCTGTAGTCCCTACTACCAGCACCACCACTGTCCCCAGTGAAACTACCGTACAACAGGTCTCTCTCTAGCTCTTATCGGGAGGCTTTGGGTCCTTTTTTTTTACCTTCACTTAACCCCCGAAATCACAAAATCATTAATCCACTCCAAAGGAAATATCGGAAAATGTCCCCCGTGGCTTTTCCCCTCTGTGAAATCATGGTGACATGATTGGGGGTGGCATTTTTGTTGGCTTCCTGGCTTCTCCTTTGCTGAACCTGTGTGGTTTTCAGCGTCATCAAAAACACTCTCATGATGATTAAGCTCTGATATTTCCCTGACTGCATGTCCTTCTGTGTATTGAGGGTCCCACTGGGTGCATGATCTTTCACTGGTGTAAATCGTTTGAGGTGTTACCTGTCAGTGCCTTGATTTTTCATACTTCCTGTATGGTGTGTGTTTTTTTCTTTCTTTTGTTTTATTTCTTGTTTTTGTTTTTCGTTTGGATCCCCTTGCAGAACACCAGTGTCGCGTCCCCTACTAGTCGGATGCCCGTCCCTTTGTCTGCGAAGTCCAGGCAGTCGCCGGGTACTACTGACAAAGCAGGAAAACCGCAAAAACTGCAGGACGCTCAGAGGCAGTTCCGACAGGTAGTTTTACTGTAGGGCCTTAGGGGAATCAAACATGAGGCATGTATGATTAGAGGAAGACTACCAAAGCTGTGAGATTTAAAAAAATAAATAAAGTCACGAACAAAGTGACGACTGTGGATCTGTTAATGTTTCTCTCGCTCTGACAAGAAGGCATGTTTGACTTTTGACTGTTACCCCATAACATCACTGTACTGTAAGCTTCTGCATGTCCACACTGCTCATGGTTTTCACTGTGTTGGTGACTTAAAAAAAAAAAGAAGTGGCACAGAAAAGTGGACGCTGTCTTCATCACACCTCCAGTTCCCATCACAGCTGAGCTCCTAAACAGTGTTGCCAAATATCCCAGGATGCTTTTGGCTCTGAAAAACAAACCTAACTGACTTTTCGGCTATGCTCCTTCTCACAACGCACCTTTTTTTGCTCAAACCCACCACCACTGCACCGCTTCCTAATAACCTCACGGTGATATATTTCCTCTCCCTCGAGACCACGCCACAACTCACCACCTTGCACCTTCAGTGGAGGCCACGTCTCCCCTGTCTGCTCCCCCTCCTCACCCTGTTATCTAACCCTCTCCAGCCTTCCTATGCACCCCCACAGCCCATGTTTACGAGGCCTAACTCTAACAAAGACCCTTCCTGTCTGCCATCGCACGGTCTAACTCCTGCAGTGTTTTGGTAATAACTTCAATGTGTCTTCATATAATAACGTAGAAACGCAGCCTTCTGTTCATGTCATTTAGTCTCAGTGATATCATGTGTGTGTAGCATTAGAGTGTTTTTTTAACATCGTCTTGCCTTTGACATGTATCATTTGACCCAGGTTTCCTTTTTTGACGACCAGTCTCTGTTTTGGCATCTCTGTTTGCAGGCTAACGGAAGTGCTAAAAGAGTGGGAGGGGATCATAAAACTACTTCCCCTACTATTCCCACCTCTAAAATCCCTGCTTTTTATCCTAGCTCTCCTAAAGGCAGCCCCCAGTCTGCACCAAACTCAGATGCTACTAATCCCATTAACCCTTCCTCTTCCTCCTCTGCGACAAAGTCCTCCATCCTGTCCTCTCCTCTTCCTCGCTCCGGTTCCCAGCCCTCCTCCCACATCCCCTCCCTGTCTAACGGATCCCTCAAACTCCCCTCACAACACACAGGTAAAACTCTTTCGTTCTCCTCGCAGAATGGTCGAGTGCACTCCTCCTCTTCCTCCTCTTCATTCTCATCATCCTCATCCTCCCCCTCCCCTCTGTCGCCCACACCTTTGGGCCCGGGTGGAAAGAGCATCCGCACCATACACACCCCCAGCTTCACCAGCTACAGGGCCCACAACGGCAGCAGCAACGGCAAATCCTGCATCCCAACAGCCACCGCCGCTAAGGACGCTTCCTAGGCCCCGTTCACCGCCCAGTGGTCTGTTACAGCTCAGAGAGTCCTGATGTGAACCCCAAATGTTGAGTACTCCAAAGTTTTATCCTTTAAATGTATAGTACGGGACCCCAGCACATAGAAACTGCCAGATGCTAACTTGCAGACGTTGCGTTAAATAGCATTAATTAGCATCTTATGTTGACATTAGTTAAATAATTAAACGGCTTGGCTCCAACTGTTTTGGAGTCGTTATTGGAATAATTGAGTCCATTTCTGATCTTTTCAGAATCAAACATGCCAGTTTTAACCAGAAAGAGGCAATATTTCTACTCTATGGGCTGACTTTTATACATTTTGGGTCAATTTTGAAGATTTAGAGCAGTGGTTACCAACCTGGCGGGGGGGCGCCAAAGATCGCAGGGGGGGGCGCCAGGCCTCAGATGATTTGAGGCCAAATATCATATTTAGACTTTTTTTTTTTTACATTTTTTTTTTTACATNCGGCCCACCGGGACGTATGCCAAATGGCCAGTCCACCCCTGCCCCCCACACAGCCATCACCATCAACCCGGCCAGCAAGGAGGTCTCGGAGAGCAGTGATTCCCAACCTGGGGGGCGCGCAAGTTAAAGCCTTGTCTCTACACTACAATAAAATATAAAAAATAATTGGTTCATTAATTTGAATAAAAATGTAAGTTAGTAGCTATTATATGCATAAAAAGACAGACTTCCTTTAATAGAAATGTTTCTTCTGCCCCGTAAGGTTTCCAAACCGGGCTTTTCTGGATAAGCGCATTTTTGAAACATAGTCATTGTCCATGCCGGTTTCAGTTGGATTATTTGTCCCAGTTGCTCCGATCAGATCGGTCTCCTCCATTTTGTAGATTATTTACAACTTTTGAATCCACGTAAACACATCGGCAAAATCCGGCTTACTTTGAGCATGTGTTTTAAACAGTTTGATCCCTTTGTGAATTGTTTCCACTTCCATTGGTTTCCGTCCTTTAATTTCTTCAGGGGAAGAATCCAAATGAATGAATCCTGAGTCCAATAACCATCAAAGTCACTCCTATAGTGCTCCTTAATTACACTTTCATCCACCT